TCTCTCTCTCCCCCTCTCTCTCTCTCTGTAATATTATAAGAGAGAAAAATGTATAGCACTTGATCAAATATTTCCCTAATGTGCAGCACCACTTTGGATGGGAATATCCATCGTCCCTCAGAACCTCACGGCAGACATGAGTCGGAAGAGGCCTATAAATACCTCACTAGAGTGTGTTTACTGATTGATGGAGGAATTTGTTCGTTCATTTAATTTTTTATTCGTTCATTTCTACTCTCATTTTTTTTCAGTCTTTCATTTTTTAAATTCCTACCTCCCTTATTTATTGATCATGCGTCCTCTCGTTCATGTATTGGTCACAATATTAAATTAATTTTCTGGTTTTTATATTTATATCAGACATTTATTTTTTTATGTATGTATGACACACTTATGTATATGTCTTAAGGAAATATTCGTGGGTGGTTGGCGGATGCTCTGGTGTGGTTTGCTTCTTCTTTCCTATGAAACATCTGTCGTCCTGATCTCTTCTCCTTTTTTTGTGTTTGTTACTGGTACTTATATGACCTTATTGTTTTGCAAGTGCCGTAAAACTCTTACAAAAACTTTAAAAAACCGAAAGGAATCATTCTTTTTTTATACATTCTGTCATTTATTCTTTTATTTAGTAGTGGCACCTTTATGTACGTCTCTTACAAAAAGCATTTTTTGGTTTATCTATATATATATAAAATGGCATATATATTCTTCCATTTCATTATGACTCATTTATGCATGTGTTGTACAGAATTATTAGCTGGTTTATCTATTTCTACAATCAGTTATTTATTATTTCATTTATTCATAACTCACCTGTGCGCCTGTCTTTCGAAACTGCTTGTTTCTTTATAAATTTCTACAATCAGTCATTTATCTTTTCTTATTTATGACACGTTTCCACACCTGTCCTACAGAAAAGCGCACCAACTTCGCGGTGAACATGCCGCGGCCCGAGATAGTGAAGGAGCTGGGTGCCCTCAACATTGAGCTCAAGACCGGGGAGCCCATCAACTCTACCGCCGTCAAAGTCAAGTGGGAGGTAAGAACATACTGCCGGAACTGTTGAAGACGACGCTTGAAGAATACTGCCAAGACAACCGGTCAATGTAAAAAAAAACTAACTGCCAAGACAACCGGTCATTGTCGAAAAAACAAACTGTCAAGACAACTGGTCATTGTAGAAAAAACAACAACAAACAACTGCCAAGACAACCGGTCATTGTCCAACCCC